CCTGATGACATCATCACCTTATGTTGTATCAGTCTTTGTAAAACTCTCCAWTCTTCTTCTGTTTGGGGTCTCTGAGGCTGATTAGCTGKGGCAGCCATCTTGAATCTGTTGTAGACGATAAATTCAGCTCATCCAGACATTCAGTAGATATTTTGCTAACAGTCAATACTATCCAAAACCCCAGAGCCTCATCTCTGATTTCCTTCTTAAGATCCAGACTTTCTGAAGGTTTTCTGTGGATTTTCACAGATTTTTGTCTGAACTTTGACCTCATGTAGACATGTTGTCTCTGACAGGACGAGTCAGAGCTGAGCTGACTGAAGACTTTAACTCAAACTGTTTACATTTGTTTAGTTTCATCAATGAACGATCATAAACAAACAGAAATGTTTCTTCAGCTTTACTACGATGAATATTTCAGCTGTAACATCTGACCTGATGAAGTGTTTCTGTGTTTCAGGTCATTTACATCTTAAAGGAAGTGAAGAGAAAATGTCTAAATCTCTAAAGAACTACATCACCATCAAGGTAGACCTGTGTGTGCAACCTGACAACAAACCTGCATACAAATCTGACATTTTCACAGTAATACTCCGAGAAATACTGAGTACTACTCTGAGAAATACTGAGTACTACTCTGAGAAATACTGAGTACTACTCTGAGAAATACTGAGNTACTACTCTGAGAAAAACAGAGTGGTACTCTGAGGAGTACAGAGTAGTACTCTGAGAAATACTGAGTACTACTCTGAGAAATACTGAGTACTACTCTGAGAAGTACTGAGTACTACTCTGAGAAATACTGAGTAGTACTCTGAGAAATACTGAGTACTACTCTGAGAAATACTGAGTACTACTCTGAGAAATACTGAGTACTACTCTGAGAAATACTGAGTAATACTCTGAGAAATACTGAGTACTACTCTGAGAAATACTGAATACTACTCCGAGAAATACTGAGCAATACTCTGAGAAATACTGAGTACTACTCTGAGAAATACTGAGCACTACTCTGAGAAATACTGAGTAATACTCTGAGGAGTACAGAGTGGTACTCTGAGAAATACTGAGCACTGTTCTGAGAAATACTGAGCACTACTCTGAGAAATACTGAGTACTACTCTGAGAAATACTGAGCACTACTCTGAGAAATACTGACTACTACTCCGAGAAATACTGAGTACTACTCCGAGAAATACTGAGTACTAC